CACTGATTATTCCCATCACTAACCACATCACATCCTGACTACATTACATCACTAATTACATCACTGAACATATCAGATCAATGACTACATCACATTACTGACTAAACCATTTCACTGACCACATCACGAATTACATCATGTCACAGATTACATCACATCACTAATTACATTACATATCTGACTATATTACATCACTGACTACATAAGATCACTGACTACATCATATCACTGACTACATCCCATCACTGACAACATCAATGATTACATCGCATAACTGATTACACCACACCCCTGACCACATCACGTCACTGATTACACTTCATCACTGACCACATGCATCACTGACCACATCACGTCACTGATTACACTGCATCACTGACCACATCACACCCATTGATTACAACCCATCAGTGATTACATTAAATCATTGACCCCCATTTCTCAACTTGCTACATCACATCCCTGATTACATCACTTCACTAAGTGCATCTCTGACTACATCACATAACACATCACATCACTAATCACATCACATCCCTGATTGCATCACATTACTAACTACATCACATCACTGATCACATTTCATAACCGACCACATAACGTCACTGATAACATCACATCAACAATTACACCACATCACTGTTTACATCACTTCACTGGTTTCATTACATCACAATCCTGGTTACATCACACCACTGACTATATCACATCACCGACCACATCATGGATTGCATCACGACACTGGTTAGATCACATCACTAACTACATTACATCATTGACTACATTAATCACTGACCACGTCACATCACTAATTACATTAGATTACTGACTACGTTACATCACTGACCACATCATATCACAGACCACATCACATTACTTACATCACATCACTGATTACATCACATTATTAATTACTCCCATTGGTGACTACATCACATTACTGACCACATCACATCATGACTACATCACATCACTGAATATATCACTGATCGCATCACATCATGACTACATCACACATCACTGAATACATCACTGATCGCATCACATCAATGACTACATCACATTATTGACTACATCACTTCATTGACCACATCATGGATTACATCACATCATTAACTACATTACATTACTGACTTCATTACAATAATTTGCCTACACCACATAACTGTTTACATCAGTGACAACATCATATCACTTCCTACATCACATCACTGACTATAGTAGTTCCCTACATCTATTTCCACAATTTGATCAATTCTGTTTCACTATTGCAGACTATTGCCAGGTTGGCTACTAGCCAGGGCTAAACATGACTCTGACCAAAGGACAGCCAAGGCAGCTGGTTAAAATAAACCACATTTGATGCAGAAACTGGTTATTTTACGTATTAAATAAACGTATGAAAAATGTCTAATGTGCAGAGACTTGGATTGTGATTACATAACATTAGCCATGTCACTCTCTAATTCTATTTGCGCGCCCTCTCTCTCTCTCTCTCTCCCTCTGTGTGTGTGTGTGTGTGTGTGTGTGTGTGTGTGTGTGTGAGAGTGTGTGTGTGCTTTGTTGGAGGCGTTCTGTTTTTATTCTTTTGAGCCAACGGTTTTTCCAATGTCCTATCCAACGTATTTTGGGAATTCTCATGTAGCAAGTCTCTTGCAGAAAGTCGCTCTCATCACAGTCTGCCAGATCTACCACCTCATGACCTTTCCTGCCCCTAAGTGTCACTGATATCCTGTGCCCATCTTCGCGGTGGTCGGTCCCTGTCCCTTTTTCCTGCTAACAAGCATTCTGCTATTATTACTCTTTCCAATTCGCAGTGGCGTTTGATATGACCAAAATATTTATAGTTTCCGATACGACATGCTGTTTATTATCCATTTTTGCTTGAGGTTCACATCCCTGATTCGTGATATTCTGACTACAATAATGACTACTAGATAGTCCACGAATCACATCCGCATTGTGCTAGGAGATGCTTCTGTAAATCTTTTTCTTCTTTTGTCAATATCTGCTTAAGCCGCTAGACATCGCAGTTCATCAGACGATTGGCAGCTGAGCCAAGGTGCGCTCAGTCGCTTGATATGCCGTGATGTTATGCAGTCTCAAGGTGTTAGTGACTCCTTCAATCCACGTTCTTCTCGGTCTTCCCCTGCCTCTTGGTGTTTCGATTTTCAGGTTGTACGCTCTTGCTGCTGGCATCGTTTGTTTGATTCTCATTAGATGGCCAAACCATTTCATTCTTTGTTTCTCAATAAATTTGACGATGAGTGTTGTTCCAACAGTTCTTGTGATCACGTCGTTTCTCACTCGGTCTCTTCTGGTTTTATTCACAGCCATTCTCAAACATCTCATCTCACCGGTGGTTAGTTTTCTTTCGTGTTCTTTTGTCAATGCCTAAGTCTGACACGGGTAACCTAAAATATGTATAAATATTAAATTTATAATTTGACTTTTTTTTTTCGGGGGGGGGAGGGAGGGGTCTCTATTGGAATAGCAGGGTGTTTTAAAATTGGAGCAAGTTGATAGGTGACATTGTTGTCTTCTTATGGGATTACCTGATAAAAATGAGCTCTTTTTTCGACAAGGATTATCGAACACGACTACATATCTGCACTACAGTCGTCACAAGGACGATCAGTGATGTCCACAGACAACTCCACGGTATTTGTTCCAACTGATGTTTTGATTTGTGTTGTCCGCCATTGCGATCTGTCAGAGACACAGCTTGCCCCATGAGATGACCAATCAATCTCACATGAATCCACTGCCGGGCTGGTCGCTGGGGGAGGAGATGAAGACAAAAACTACTTCGACAATGTAAAAAAAAAAAAACTTATGAAGCAAATATTGGCATGCAAGACGAAAACATCCTTACACGTGGGTCGACAAAGTTTGGCAGAAGGCATGGTACGAGGAAGGAGGGGCGGGGACCGAACAACAGAAAGACGGGCACAGGATAAGAGTAACTCCTTGAATATGAAAGTACACAAGACGGGTTAGCTGGCGAGAGAACGTGTTTTAATCTGGCAGAGAGTCGTAAGAGCTACGTTCTGCAAAGGACCTGCTACATGATGATGATGACGTATAATAATTATTATGCTCCTAAACTACGATTGAGGCCAATTAGGACACCCCCTCCCTCTTATTTTTGGTGGGGTGTGGGAAAAGGGAGTGTGTATGAAGTAATGGTTGACGAAGCAGGTGTGACGAAGCAGGTGTGACGAAGCAGGTGGGACGAAGCAGGTGTGACGAAGCAGGTGGGACGAAGCAGGTGTGACGAAGCAGGTGTGACGAAGCAGGTGTGACGCAGCAGGTGTGACGAAGCAGGTGTGACGCAGCAGGTGTGACGCAGCAGGTGTGACGAAGCAGGTGTGGCGCAGCAGGTGTGGCGAAGCAGGTTGGACGCAGCAAGTGTGGCGAAGCAGGCGTGACGAAGCAGGTGTGACGAAGCAGGTGTGGCGCAGCAGGTGTGGCGAAGCAGGTGTGACGCAGCAGGTGTGACGAAGCAGGTGTGACGCAGCAGGTGTGGCGAAGCAGGTGTGGCGCAGGAGGTTGGACGAAGCAGGTTGGACGAAGCAGGTTAGACAAGCAGGTGTGGCGCAGCAGGTGTGACGCATCAGGTGTGACGCAGCAGGTGTGACGCAGCAGGTGTGACGCAGCAGGTGTGACGAAGCAGGTGTGACGAAGCAGGTGTGACGCAGCAGGTGTGACGAAGCAGGTGTGACGAAGCAGGTATTTTGTAGAACGTCAGGTCAGTCACCAGCCTGGGCTAACCAGCAGTTCTCTAGGTTTAATCAGACAATTAGGTCATGAGACTAATTCCATACAAATTAAAATAATTAACAGTTGAACACGTAACATGTATTTTTTTTTAAAGTAAGTCCCTTGTGAATTGACACATCAAGTGGCACGATCTAACAAACACTGGAACGACCTCTGTAGTTATTCTGTTGTTATGGCCCTTAAAGACGATGTTACGGCCATTTTGTTGTCATCAATATCATCAAAGAAGCGTCCTTTCAATTGTAACTTTAATTTTGGGAAAGAAAATAGTAACAGGGAGACAAAGCCGGGGGAATAGGGTGGATGGTTGAGAACACGTCCTTGATTTGGGGTCAAAAATTCCTTTACAACTACCGCCCATTGAGCCGGTACATTGTCATGAAGAAGAAACCAATTGCCAGGTGTTAAATACAAAACCGGCAAGCAACTTTTTTTCTTTCCCAAATATTCTACTAAAATTTTACAAATAGTCTTTTTTTTAACACCAAATTCATCTACCATCATCCTCACAGTCGAACAACGATCTTCTTGTATCCGTTCTAGTAATTTTGCAATGAGTTCCTCATTACGAACAGAAACTGGGTGTCCAGGTCTAGTTGCATTTTTTCGAATTGTGAGTACCAGTTGAAAATTTGTGCACGAGATAAACAATTATCCCCATAAATTTGTCGCATCAATTCTACTGTTGCAATGGCGCTTTTTCTGAGTTTGTAAAACTTAATGTCAGTCTTTTGATACTTTTGTTGTTGCTTGATGCTAAACACGTAACAATGCAGCACTGAATGGGTTAACAAATTGGCGGCTTGTGGTTTTGTTATCGGGCTGGAATGAAAAAAGCCAGATCATAGATGTAGGTTGCCTCTTTGGATTCCATGCTGTGAATCATAGATGGCATTTTTTTTTCTTAGCCATAACAAAATCAGTTTAATTACTTATTTGTCGGACCTTGTATTTCTATACGGAACGCTATTAGTACATTCTTAAACAAGAATCAATTTAATAAAACTCCTATGCACAGAAATGTACAGCTAGAGTACAGTAGGCATGAGAGTTTTCTCTTTCTAATAATTATCCCCCCTCCCCCAATCATGGCGTCTGCGTGGCTGTATGAAGTTATGGTTTTGTACAGTTAACAAGTAACAAATACAGAAATTATAATCTATTGAAGGAAAAAAAAAAGTGATTTGCACAACAGAAATCAGTGGTCACAACAGTACCTGTATGCGTCATCTTGGCATAGCCAAAGCTTATACTGTTGACCGAATAGAGAACATTGCCACTTCCATCCTGGCAAGAAAACAGTCATCATAATTATATAGACGAAAATGACGGTTCGATCTTTACAATGTTGACTTATGACTTCAAAGGTCTCCAAAAACGTTTCAGGTCAAGACCTTACTCCCTTCCACCACCCTACTCATCAAAATATGACCACAAAGAAGCCATCCGGTTCCGCAACAAGAGAATCAAAAAGTATGGAAATGCATTTTGGTCAGAATATGTTCTTAATCTATAAATGCCGGTGTTATCATTTTAGCTTTTAAACTGTGGATAAACTGCTTTAGAAAAAGGAAATTCCTTGACTTTTTGTTTATTTATAAATAAACTGAAACAAAAATTATAACGGATTATTACAAATACATCCAATATCAAAATTGCTTGACGCCCCCGTTGAAACCTCCTCGCGCCTCCATGTTGGAGACCGCTGTATTACACGTGGATACGAAAGCAGCTGATTCATTGATTGAGCCTTTCTTCTTTGGCTTTGTACTTTGTATTCCACAACTTCTTTAAACTTTTTATTAGCCTGGTGTAGGTTTTAGGGCCGCATTGTGGTGGGGAAAACAAGGATACACCCAACAAGCATGTCGTAGGAGTCGACTATCAGAAGCATCCTTCAAAGTCGGAATAAATCTGCCTGAGAGGCAAGGAACCAGCAGTCTGCATGCGAAAAAGCCAGAGCTCTGACATAAAATTTTATAAAACCGAACGAAAAGTATATCAGCAAGCTTCACAATATAACGAACTCAAACAAAACGTGAAAGTTGCGGCTATGGAGCCTGACACGGATGTGCACGCAACACTCGTACGGGAACAAGACCAAAGTCCGGAGATGGACGAACACCCAGAACTTCTGGTCGGAGTTTACAGCCGGTGAAGAAGTTTAACCTTTGCATTAACATAGGAGTACATGTGTATCTTATAGCTGTGTTAGATTTCACTATTGCTTTTTGGGGGGCATTCTTAAAAAATGTTTAGTCTTTTCGTTTGTTTAAGACCGAAGCTTTACTGGACATGAAAACCCAACTTGCTAGGTAAGCTTCATAGCAAAGACCATATTAATTCAGCCCATGGTTACACAGAAGAGGAGTCGTCGTGGTGTAGCGGCTAGAGCTCGTTTGCTGATCCAAAGGTCGTCTGTTTAAATTCGTATGGAACCGGGATTTTTCCCCTACACATAACCTTGGCTCTGAGGCCAGCCCAGCCTTACATGGGTACAAAGTCATGTCCTGGAAAGTAAATGCGGCCGTTATGATACTGACCACATCACAGATTGAGGACTAGCCTTGTATGCCCACTACGTCACTGCCATGTCAAGAGATCTTACCTTTACTTCACTTACCTGAAAGAATGTCTGCCGACGAGAAGATTGGTCTAGGTCGGGGTGAACCTTGGATTGCCATAATTCCGTCCTTTTGCAGATGCGTCCTCGTTTCTAAGTATATCTAAGCGTCAGCAAATTAGCGAACGTTAGTTAGTCGACAGATTATCCTCACTGTACGTCGAACCACTCAGTCCAGAAGTGCTCAGATCGACTCCTCAGTAAATCCCGCAGCATGTAGCGGCTGACGGCACCAGTTCTATGTTGGTTTATTATTCTTCTTAGGCTACCCGCGTAGTGTTCTTGCTTAGCGGCACCCCGTTTAACATGTTGTTCTTGCAGTCTGACCATGGTTGCAGATTCACAGTTCACAGTTAGTTCACGCAAACGTCGTAACTCTTTTAGAGCATTCAGTATATCAGCCTGGTCATGGCTTGTCCGGCTTTCACGGCAGCTTTACCTGCAAGTCTATCAGCTTGCTTATTTCCTTGTACCCCCACATGTCCTGGCACGAAAATGAAACTAATCCTTGTCAGCCGTGAAATCTGTAGAGCCACCAACCACTGCCTTCGGACCCAGCCCTTCTCTATCTTCCTGAGCATATTCATCGAATCACTGAGAAAGCATGACAAAAAATTAGCGAACGTATGGCAACCCAAGTCTAACCGCCACCCTATAACATAGTAACATAGCCAGTTACCAATGTGCCAGTTGTCCGTAGCCAAATCTTGTTGGCATATTTCTGTCGCTACATGGGATAGTCACTTGTTGTCCAGATCGATATCCCTACACATAGGTCCTACCTATTCGTGTTCTGTCCTCAAATTCTGCCGCCATCTCAGTGTCTCAATACTCGACGTAACTAGCAGAAGCTGACTGGCAAGTCTTCTTTTTCTGTCCCGCAGTATGTCTGCCCTGTTCAGACTTTTCCCACCACTAACCAACTGAGACACGGCCAGTAAAACGGATGTACACGCAAAACAGGCCCTGGCAGAAAGTCAAAGTCCAAATGGACAAACAACGATGACGTTCCGGTGGAGCTGACAACCGTTAAACAGAGAAGAAGAAGTGGTGACGTGTTATAGATACTTACCTTGAACACAATGCTGACTGGAGGATCCCCTAATGAGACAATCGGCCCACAAGACACAGTTACGGAGTTACTGCTGGTGCTGGTGTCCCTTACGATCGTTAGCTGTTTGGTCAGCACTGGCGGCACTAGAGATCAACAAAAACGGGGCTCAGTCATCTGCAATCCTTTCCCACACACGACTGCAGTTTACACCGGGGCCTGGTAGTCGTTACGGATGGCCTAATTATAACTTTTTCAGAGGTTGAACAGGGTATCTAGGTCTGCCCTGTTGGTCTACCATCAGCACTGAGATTCTTTAGTTTTGTGATGTCAGACTTTCTGTTCTTGTTGGTCTACCATCAGCACTAAGATTCTTTAGTTTTGTGATGTCAGACTTTCTGTTCTTGTTGGTCTACCATCAGCACTGAGATTCTTTAGTTTTGTGATGTCAGACTTTCTGTTCTTGTTGGTCTGCCATCAGCACTGAGAATCTTTAGTTTTGTGATATCAGACTTTCTGTTCTTGTTGGTCTGCCATCAGCACTGAGATTCTTTAGTTTTGTGATGTCAGACTTTCTGTTCTTGTTGGTCTGCCATCAGCACTAAGATTCTTTAGTTTTGTGATATCAGACTTTCTGTTCTTGTTGGTCTGCCATCAGCACTAAGATTCTTTAGTTTTGTGATATCAGACTTTCTGTTCTTGTTGGTCTGCCATCAGCACTAAGATTCTTTAGTTTTGTGATATCAGACTTTCTGTTCTTGTTGGTCTGCCATCAGCACTAAGATTCTTTAGTTTTGTGATATCAGACTTTCTGTTCTTGTTGGTCTGCCATCAGCACTAAGATTCTTTAGTTTTGTGATATCAGACTTTCTGTTCTTGTTGGTCTGCCATCAGCACTGAGATTCCTTAGTTTTGTGATATCAGACTTTCTGTTCTTGTTGGTTTGCCATCAACATTGAGATTCTTTAGTTTTGTGATGTCAGACCTTGTGATCTTGTTCTTCTGCCACTGGGTATCACACCTTTCAGACAGCAGCACAGGGTGCGATGAGAATGATCGATCGATCAACTAGCGCGGGATTCGGGTGTGAAACATTTCAATACCAAAGTAAATGCCTTAGGTAAATGGCAGTATTTGGAATTATTTAAAAAAAAAAAGGTGAAGAAATAAATATCATGTTCATGCCTGCCCTTCATGGTCTGGACAACCACTGACGCAGTGGCGAGGAGTGATAAATTCCCACGTGTAAGCGGTTTAAAGCAAAGTAAGCGTTAGTATATAACAATTACATTGGAGAGAGAACCACGTGATATTTTCCTTCTCGTCGCTTCGTTTTCGTAAGTATACTAATAGTAAACAGTAGGAACGGCGCCTAACGGCATAAGCAGATATTGACAAAAGAAGAAGAATAACATACTGTAACATAATATATTTTACTTTTGCAATTCCCTGACAGGCAAAGAACGAAATGGTTCAACCATCTAGTGAGAATGCAGCCAGACCAAACTGCATATGAGACCTTTTACAGCAGAACATCTAGGAGGAAGGAGAGAGGAAGACCAAGAATGAGATGGATAAATGGTGTAGCTGAAACCTGAAGAAAGATGAACACATTCATCACCCAAAAAACACGAGAAGCGCAAGACAAATACAGAAAACTACTACACTGGTCTACAACATGGTATCAGTGACACGACAAAACTACGACACTGGGCTACAAACTGGTTTCCGCAAAATCACGACATTGTTCTACAAAGTGGTATCAGTGAGACGACAAAACCACGACACTGGTCTACAATCTGATATCAGTGAGACGACAAAACCACAACACTGGGCTACAATCTGGTATCAGTGAGACGACAAAACCATGACACTGGGTTACAACCTGGTATCAGTGAGACGACAGAACCATGACACTGGGCTACAACCTAGTATCAGTGAGACGACAAAACCATGACACTGGGCTACAACCTGGTATCAGTGAGACGACAGAACCATGACACTGGGCTACAACCTGGTATCAGTGAGACGACAATACCATGACACTGGGCTACAACCTGGTATCAGTGAGACGACAGAACCATGACACTGGGCTACAACCTGGTATTAGTGAGGCGACAAAACCATGACACTGGGCTACAACCTGGTATCAGTGAGACGACAAGACCACGACACTGGGCTACAACCTGGTATCAGTGAGACGACAAAACCATGACACTGGGCTACAATCTGGTATCAGTGAGACGACAAAACCACGACACTGGGCTACAACCTGGTATCAGTGAGACGACAAAACCACGACACTGGGCTACAACCTGGTATCTATGAGACGACAGAACCACGACATTTGGCTTCAACCTAGTATCAATGATTAAGAAATTCAACCAGCCTCTCAGGACATTGACATTATTACTGAACCACCAAGCAAACAAGAAATCCTTAAAGCTATCCACACTTTAAAGAACAACAAAGCACCAGGCAAAGACGAACTGCCAGCAGAACTTCTCAAAGTAGATCCCAACACAACTGCATGCATTTTAGAACCATTGTTCAAGGATATTTGAGGAAAAGAAGTGTTGCCTGATGACTGGACTGAAGGAACAATAGTCAAAATCCCCAAAAAAGGAGACTTAACAGACTGCAATAATTGGAGGGGAATTACTCTACTCTCAGTACCAAGCAAAATATTTTGTAAAATCATAATGCGGCTTGAAAAAGGAGTAGATAAATGCCTACGAGTGGAACAAGCAGGATTCAGAAAGGGCAGAGGAACAACTGAGCACATCTTCGCAATACGTAACATTTTAGAACAATGCAACGATTGGCAGAGAAGTATATATATTAATTTTGTGGACTTTGAGAAAGCTTTTGACAGCGTCCATAGAGACAGTGTGTGGAAAATTTTACGACATTATGGAATTCCAGAAAAAATAGTCAACATAATTGCCATCTTATATAAAGACTTTTCCTGCAGTATAAAAAATTACAATACATCTTTCCCAGTAAAGACGGGTGTAAGACAGGGATGTGTTATGTCATCTCTCCTCTTCAACCTTGTGATTGATTGGATACTAAAGAACACAGTAGACATGACATTGAGAGGCATACGATGGACTCCATTCACCATGCTTGAGGACCTTGATTTTGCAGATGATATAGCACTCCTATCACATAAACATGAACATATACAACAGAAAGTAATAGACTAAACTGCACAGCAGAAATGGTGGGACTGAAAATAAATACAAAGAAAACTAAGATCATGACAAACAGTCCAAACCAACAACCAGTGACCATAAATAACCAATCACTTGAAAATGTAGAACATTTCACATATCTTGGCAGTGTGGTGTCCCTACTGGGAGGGACAGAGGAAGACATACAGTCACGTCTGAACAAAGTTAGAGCTGGTTTTGGAAGGATGAGGCAAATCTGGAAATCCAACAATTACTGCAGAGGAACGAAACTCCGACTCTATAAGAGCATCATTTTGCCAGTTCTTCTTTATGGAGCGGAATGCTGGAGAATGACCAAAAAGGATGCACACAAGCTGTCCACCTTCCACCACACATGTCTACGTAGAATTATCAAAATTTTCTGGCCAGATACAATCTCAAACACTAAACTACTTCAAGCCACAAACCAAGAAACTTTAGACAGTATGATTACCAAGAGAAGATGGAAATGGCTTGGCCACGTTATGAGAATGACTTCTGATATACCTGCCAAATCAGCTCTCACATGGACACCAGAGGGAAAGAGAAAACAGGGGCGCTCAAAAACAACATGGAGACGAACGATGGAAAGTGACCTGGGTGCGGCATCTTTGACATGGAAAACTGCACTGAAGATTGCACAGGACAGGAAAGCATGGAAAGTCCTCTCTGGAGCCTCATGTGCCACTAGGCATAACGAGAACTGATGACTGATGATGATGGTATCAGTGAGAGACAAAACCACGACACTGGGCTACAACCAGGTATCAGTGAGACGACAAAACCACGTCACTGGGCTACAACCTGGTATCAGTGAGACGACAAAACCACAACACTGGGCTACAACCTGGTATCAGTGAGACGACAGAACCATGACATTTGGGCTACAACCTGGTATCAGTGAGACGACAAAACCACGACATTAGGCTACAACCTGGTATCAGTGAGACGACAAAACCACGTCACTGGACTACTACCTGTTATCAGTGAAACGACAAAACCACGACTTCGGGCTACAACCTGGTATCAATGAGAGGACAAAACCATGACATTGGGCTATAACCTTGTATCAGTGAGAGGACAAAACCACGTCACTGGGCTACAACCTGGTATCAGTGAGAGGACAAAACCATGACATTGGGCTATAACCTTGTATCAGTGAGAGGACAAAACCACGTCACTGGGCTACAACCTGGTATCAGTGAGACGACAAAACCATGACACTGGTCTACAACGTGGTATCAGTGAGACGACAAAACCACGTCACTGGGCTACAACGTGGTATCAGTGAGACGACAAAACCACGTCACTGGGCTACAACGTGGTATCAGTGAGACGACAAAACCACGTCACTAGGCTACAACGTGGTATCAGTGAGACGACAAAACCACGTCACTGGGCTACAACGTGGTATCAGTGAGACGACAAAACCACGTCACTGGGCTACAACGTGGTATCAGTGAGACGACAAAACCACGTCACTGGGCTACAACCTGGTATCAGTGAGACGACAAAACCACGTCACTGGGTTACAACCTGGTACAGTGAGGCGACAAAACCACGACATTTGTCTACAACCTGGTATCAGTGAGACGACAAAACCACGACATTTGTCTACAACCTGGTATCAGTGAGACGACAAAACCACGACATTTGTCTACAACCTGGTATCAGTGAGACGACAAAACCACGACATTTGTCTACAACCTGGTATCAGTGAGACGACAAAACCACGACATTTGTCTACAACCTGGTATCAGTGAGACGACAAAACCACGACATTTGTCTACAACGTGGTATCAGTGAGACGACAAAACCACGACATTTGTATACAACCTGGTATCAGTGAGACGACAAAACCACGACATTTGTCTACAACCTGGTATCAGTGAGACGACAAAACCACGACATTTGTCTACAACGAGGTATCA